TTATGACGTAGTGGAGTAGGCGCTTCCGCTTATACGATACCTTTTCGCAATATCGAATTTTAAACGCTACGAAAGTAACACAATCACTTCACAAGTTTCTTTGGTAAATGCTTTTATAGAAGTACACAGTAATTCAATTTGCAGATTTAGCTGTAAAAAAGTTATTTTATTTTGAACATATTTTTTGAATAATAGTCAGCTACACTGTTTAAAATATCTGTGGTGTGAAGAGTAATCTTAAAATGGTGTCAAAATCGAACACCATATAACACCATGAATTATGGTTGAAAATGTTGCTCTATACAGCAAACACCAGAACGGTGTTTATCTAAAAATATTTGAGAAGTGCACCTAAACAGAAAAAAAAGGAATAGTTCATTTAACTATATTAATTTAGTTGACCCATAAGTATTTATTTAAATCAACTGTGGGAAGGTTAATATAAACAAAGATTAGTTTGACGGTACTAAACCAGATAGTTATTTTTTTTTAATTGGTTAAATTAACCCAAAAAACTTTAGTGAAACCAACCCGCTGTATGGTTCAGTTTACTAAATATGTTGTTTGTAAAATAAGAGTTACTTCAACCTAAGGCACTCTGTTAAAACGATTAAAACAACTTGCCGTGCATTCCTTGTTGCATAGTGTGAACCGATCGCGGCAAAGGCGGCGTGGATCACGTGATGTTCTTAAATCTCGCCTCTGTTGACTTACATGAAGAGTATATAAGCTCAGGTAGTCCCTTGCTTTGGTGTGGCACTACAAGTTATTCGATACTAAAGAGACCTTAAATAGGTGGAAACAGCTGTCAATATTTGAAGTATTTTAAGTTGGTGGAACGCTCAAAAACATTATCTCTAGCGAGTTAAAGGTTCAATTTTCTGGAATAATACCACTGGTAATATACTTGTAATGCGTCAAGGAACTTCCTGATTCCTTCTTTTCTGTGTAGTATGATTTAATTTGACCAAAAACACATTATATTTAACACTGAAAAGGAGTTCAATTTACACCAGGTAAAATTTATTTTAATACTGTGTGAAAGTTAAATTTACACCATTTTAGTATTTGAATTTACACTGGACCAATGAATCATATTTAACACCATCTTGGTTTGTATTGATATAGACCATGTATGGTGTTAATTTGGTGTTAAAATGCATGGTCATGACATTTTGAACAGTGTATTTTTTCGTGTAATATTTACTTAGTTTTATTTAAATGAATCATAAAACGAATAATAAAATCCTAAAGATAATTTTTATTAAAAAAACCAAATGATAATAATAAAATAGATCATAAAAATTAATTGTTTAACCTAAAAAAAAACACAACGGGACGAGTACATTAAAAAAAATAATGATTTTCATTTTATATCCCGACAGGAAAAACTGTACGTGATAGCATTCGATAATGGCTTTTTATATTTTTATTGGCATATCTCATGAAGACACTACAAACAAGAATAGCGTCATCCGGCACAATATGTTATGCTATAAATAAACACGACCAATCCAATTAATAAAAATAAAGGTCCGATAGCACGTTTAAAAACAAGTTTGTTGTGCCTGTTATTGTGTACTATATCTATTTAAAAAAAAACTCTATAAATCTCACTATTTATATTTTTATGCTGGCTGATGAAAACATAAAGAATTTTGATATATCTGATGATTCATTTGAAATGATGAAACATATTTTTAAATCGTTGCACGACTACATATGACAAATCGCATTTGAACGTTAAATTTTTTTATGAAAATCATATTTAAAACGGTATGATAAGAATTTTAAGGTATAATTTGTTTATTCCAGTGGCGTCCTGGGGGCATCTCGGTAGTTATTTTAAAGAATAAATATGACACGCCACTGCTTTTAATTTGGTTGGTTATTTGACCATATAAAACAATAAAACTTTTTTCTTTCTTTACTGTGTTTCGTCTCGCTTCGCAATCTCATTATGATTTTTTTAAATAAATAAGTAAATTAATAAACATGTTTATTAATATTTTCTCTATGAATGAAGCGGATAAGATAAAAAAATATGAGGAAGAGTCGAAAATGTCAAATATTGATAAAATTAGTTTATTTAGAAAATCAGACAAAAAAAATAAGAAAAATATTAGGAAATAATTTTCTGTGAATGAAGTGAAAAGGAGAATCTAAACCATCCAGACACCCACCCAAACATACGAGGTGTGTTCAGAAAATAACGGAAATTGTTAAATTTCGTGGGTTCAGAGGGTCCAGTTGTCATAAAATTTTCTTTATTATGTTGGTATACATGCCCCCGAAGTATGATAAAAACATTAGCTATTTTCATTGTTTACTTTGTCTGTGGCAGCCGCTAAGGTTAGACGTGTTTTAATGCTCGGCGATTTTCGTTCGTTAAAAAAAATGGATCAAAGAATTTGAATCAAATTTTGCATAAAAAATGAAATAAATTCTGTGAAATGTTAAAAAAAGGCCAATAGTGAGTGCTATAAGTAAAACAAGAGTTTACAAGTGGTATAAGAGTTTCCAAGATGGCCTTGAAGACGTTGAAGATGACGAACGCACAAGAACATTAACAACCGATAAAAACATGGAAAAAGTGGAAGAAATGGTTATAAACCTGATGATGTTGGTATATCGATTGGCTCATCCCATGAAATTTTTTCGAATGTTTTGGGTATGAAACGCGTGGCAGCAAAATTTGTTCTAAAATTGTTAAATTTTGAACAAAATTTTTGTCCAAAAACAATACTGTAATGATGCCCCAGCCTCCATATTCGCCAGACATGTCTCTGTCTGACTTTTTCCTATTTCCAAAAATAAAGAGAACCTTAAAGGGCCGTCGTTTTGCAAGCATAGATGACATTAAAAGCGCATCGCTGAAAGAACTAAAGGCTATCTCAAAGATCGAGTTTTAGAAGTGTTTCGAGTATTGAAAGAAGAGCTGGCACATGTGCATAATATCCAATGGGGACTATTTTGAAGGCGACAACATTAATGTAGACGAAAATTCCCGATATTTTCTGATCACACCTCGTATTTACATACCACTCCAAAACTTGAGAATAATCCCAATTGTATAGGAATAAAATTGTATAATAAGCTGCAATTAGCGTTTAAAGAAGTTTTAAATTTAAAAAAAAGGATAAGTAGTAAATTATTTTATCTCCACGCGGTCTATAATTTAAACTTTATTGTTGTCAACATTCGATAAAGAAATACGGCCTAGGCTGATAAAATTTTTTATGAGGCAAGTAATTAGTTCGATTTTTTCTCGCTAGGGGTATTGTTTTGCCAAATTAATCCTTTTCCACGAAATTATTGTAGTCAACTGGTTTAATTTATTTATAATAAGCACTAATTTGTTTGTTTTACTGTTAATGTTTAATAGTTTTCATTAAATTATTGTAAAATTAAATATGAATAATAAAACAATTCGACGATTTAAATTATCTTTAAATTATAATTTGCTTTAAGTTTTCAGTGAAATTAAATGTTAAACACAGCTTAAACATTCCAAACTACCTATTTTTTAAATAAAAATCCAAACAAATTGAAATTAGATACCTACCTATTTATTAAACAATTAATTGAATTCAATGTAATAGCAAAAATCCATTTCTACTTAAAATCTACTTCTACTGCTAGGTATTGTCAAACTATTACTGCTTCTAAAAGCAATAATAATTATTGTACATTTAATGTAATCTTTAGCTAATAAATAAATGAGATTCTAAAAAAGTAAGGTTAGGCCGCTATGATGTTGAATTAAATTGACCTATATAAAGTGCTTTGAAGATAAAATGTTGTATGCCATTTGGCCAAGAAGTGCGTTTTTGTGCTTCGCTCAAACCTTGAGCTTGGCACAAAAAGCCTTACTTCTTAACCTATAGGTTATAATGACATAAATAACTATTTTAGAATACTGTTTTTATACCTGCGATGAATTTTTATTTTATGTGAGCTATTTGAGGTTTATTTTATTTTTATGTTTTTTCTTACTACACTCAAATTTTTTTTTAATAAATATAAGAAAAAAAGTAGTTTGTTTTAATAAAGTAATTCGTCCAACAATTGGTTTTGTTACGGCAAAAAGATCATTTTTATTAAAATTATTTATCTACAAACGCTGCTTAAAGTAATAGAATTTGCATTAATTATAAAGTAAATTTACGTTATGTTTATAAAAATAACACTCTTCCAGATGCAGAAACGCATTGATAAATATAGTTATTATTATTTGTCCAAAAAAACTTTTCTATACCGTTTACAAAAATGTTTTGTAGTATTAACACGTTCACTGCCGACGAAATAGTCCGTCCCGGTCCGCCCATATTGCAGGGCCGATGTTTTTTTTTTGTAAATTTTAGCTAAAAATGGACTAAAAGTTGTTTATCGTTTCTTATCGTAAGGTTCTATATGAAAAAATACTAAAACAAAAAACAAATAAACAAACGCGGCAGACGCGTTGGCGGCACCCAGCGACAAAAACAATGCTGTAATACAGCTGTATGCCACCGCGGTGCACCGTACAGAACGCGGGTCCCTCGTGCTTGGCATATTGTAAAATACACAAGAACGCGGTAGCCGCGTTGCCGGCAGTTAAAGGGTTAATGGTATTATTCATAGAAATTTTGTAAATTTTACAAATCCCTTTTCGTTTTGAATAAAAGATTTTTTATAATATTAATAAAATTTATGTAAATTTAACAACAAGTTAATTGTGATCTTTTTGATATTTTTATCAAAAGAATTCCTTGTATTGTGTTAAAAATTATTAAAAAATATGTAATTTAATGTAGTTTTTATTTAAAACATGCCTAATAAAATCACCCACACGAAAATTTCACATTAAAATAAAAAGAAAGTTAAACATATGTATATGGTATATATAGAGGCACCGGTATCATAGGGGACTATGATGCAACTGGACGTGCAGACTAACGCACGTGTCATCGAGAAAACAAAACAAAACAAAACAACATCGCCGGCTCGCTGGATCTCACCTGGCACGCTGAAGACCACGAAAAAGCAGAACGGCACGAACACCACGAAGGCCAGAATCAGGAAGCCGTTGCGTCTCCGCAGAGGACCCAAGGCCAAATTCAACACGGTCATGTCGCTGTCACAACGTGCCCGTGCACAAACAAAACACCATCACACTGCCACAAACGTCAAATGTCAACGCAGACGCGACGCTTTTTACCGGCGAACTCGTAACAACACAGCAGGTGTAGTTTTCGTGTTTGCGACAGAGAGCGGCTGGCTACTCCTGCAGCACGAATTCCTGCATAGACGGTTTCGACTAAACGTAGCCAACAGCGGCGCAGACTTATATAAGGTGCGATGTTGCCGTTGTGAGTTGTCTGGCGGAGAAAAGGGGAATTGGCGTATAAGTAAGGAACAAAATGTTAATTCAATGTAAAAAATGTACACGAAGAGAAATGTATGGTAAATTTTAGATAGTAAAAAATATATAGTAAAACTTACTTTAGTGTAACAATGTTAAAATTCTCAAAAACCTAAACAAAAATTCACCAGAATTCTTCAATTTTGCCCAAAAAAATATATATAAAACAGTTTATTTAATAAACTTTGTAATATGAGGTTTAATAACTTTAATGGAGGCTGGAGTCACATATTTTTTAAATATGTGGATGGAGCTTTTTATTCAAAGGTTTCAAAGTTCCGACCTGTCAAATTCTTGAAGGGTAACCATCTTAAATTAAGATTCTTAATTAAAAAGTCACTAGTTCAACGCACCCAACCAAAACTTTCAATATTTTTTATTCTGTATTTTAATTATTAAAAATTCGCTAAAAACTCTCCGATGCATCTTTAAATTCTCCAGGTTTGAGACTTGTCGCTATCTAACTTGAAAACTCTCAACCAAGAACAAAAAATCACCAGAAATGGTGAAAAATTCTCCAAGATGGCAACACTGTCGTCAATACAATATTAAGATTGTAATACAAAATACTATTTTTTATTATACAATTTTAGTAAAGATTACAACACCAATATTACTAAATCATAAATGTATAATATATATTTTAATTTTTAATATGTTCATTTAGTAAATTGATTTTACTATCTACAAATAGTAATATTTACTATATGATTTAATCAAATGTAAGGTTTACATCTAATATTATAATATATTAAAAAATATAGTAAAAATAAAGATACTTTTATGTTTAAGGTAAATAAACAATATATTTAAATATAATGTACAATATATATAGTAACTCATGACATTTTAAACATTCAATTTTCTTAGTTTCTTCAATAAACTTTCTTCCATTACTGGTAATACTTATAAGAAAAAATTGAACCTACTTGGTTGCATAGTATGTAGTGTCGTTAGACGGTGTGGATCACTTGATGTTCTTACATCTCGCCTCTGTTGGCTTACCCACCATGTTATATAAGCTCAGGTATTTCTTTGTTTTGGGTGTGTTCCACTACTACAAGTTGCTCGACAGTGTCGTGTCGACACTGATGATACCCAATATAGGTCAAAACACCTGTCTGTCGGTATTTCTTTCTCATAACATTTTTGTATATAAAAAAGTATATATAAATATGTTACAATTTTTAATTGTTAACATATAAAAATATTCGATTTTAAAATATTTTATATTTAAAATGGCAACATTATATTTTAAAATCTACTATACTTATTAGTAATGGAAAAAATCTAATTATAATAAGAATTAAAAACAAAATTGGTTGAGAATAATTATATTTTTACCTTAAGGTTTAACATACATGGATATTTAAAAATGGTTCTAGGAAATTTGTTCGGAAAAAATTTGTTCGAAGGAAATTTGTTCGAAGGAAATTTGTTCGAAGGAAATTTGTTCGAAAGAAATGTATTCGAAAGAAATTTGTTCGAATAAAAATTTGTTCGACGGAAATTTGTTCGAAAGAAAGCCAAAATATCGAGAGAAAAATATTTTATTAACCACTAGAAAAGTTAAAATATATAATAAATTAGTACGAAATGTTGTGAGCAACACCTCTTAAATATGCTAGGATATCGCCTTGAGGGTCATAATTATTTATAACATTTAGAAGTCTTGCAGCAGCATCTTTATATTTTTTTTTTTATTTTCAATTGCTCGACCAGCTATAGCCTGTTCAATGCGAAGTTCATTAATAGATTGTTCTCGTTTTAAGTTTTTAAGTTTTTAAGTTTTTATTAAATGAGCTTAAATTAAACAATCTTCGAACAAATTTCCGTTCGAACAAATTTACGTTCGAACAAATTTCTTTCGAACAAATTTCCATTCGATCAAATTTTTTCGAACAAATTTCCTTCGAATAATTTTCTTTCGAACAAATTTATTTCGAACAAATTTCCGGATACCTTTAAAAATTACTAAATATGCATAGTATCCGGCAATATACAAGATTGTTGTCCCAAATAGTAATATAAATTATAGTAAAAAGGGGTATTATAATTATGGTAATCAGCATTATACTTTTCTCTCCGTGTATGAATATTTTTTTAACATAATGGCGTTTTCAGTTTTTGTGATTAAAAACATAAAAAAGTATTTTTAAATTAAAGTTATAACTTTCCTACTATAGTAGATAAATTAAGTTAATCGAATGTTAAATTAAGTTAATCAAATGTTAAAGGTATTATGAAAAATGTTTTTGTAAAATACAGGGTGTTTCACATTCGTGGTCCATGAAAAGTTTTTAGGGACCGACAAAAGATATCCATTTAAGTATATTGTTCTAAAATATTTTAAACAAAATTCCACTACCGGTTTAACCGGAATAACTTTGTTATTTCAAATACAACACCCCATATATTTTACATGCTTCATTCTGTATAAAATTCTGAATAAAATTACTATACCATGTCCTATACCTAAAGTAAATAGTTTTCGAGTTATTAGTTTTTTTTGTTAAAATTTTACAAATGAGCGTCATTCATACATACACAGTGGTCCTGAATGACCTTTTAAATACACATTGACAAGTTTTAAGTTAGTTGACAGTTGTCAAATGTCATACAATCGTTAAAATAAAGTGCCTTTCTTGTAAAATAATACTGAATGTGAAAATTATTTTATTATCTCAATACAAAAATTCAAAAGTATTAAATAGTTTCTCAACGCCAATATTTGAAAAGTTTATAAAACATTGTACTGACCTTTTAATTTCGCCGGCAGTAAACTATAACTTAAATTCGGGCACGGACAGCACTGTAAAGTGCTCATAAAACATTTTCTTTACTTTCACTGTGAAAAACTGTAAATTTTCAAGAAATACATTTCGATTTATAACTTTTATAATATAAAAATTTGACATTTGACGGTGACACACAGATTCCCCTATTGTTTCATAGATGGCGCTCTATACAAATTTTTAATTTAAATCATTTTAAGATAATAATAAGTATTTGTCGTAGAAAAAGTATAGTATGCACCTCGTTTATAAACTTTTCTATACACTCATTAATTTAAGCACTAGCTCGCAAGCTCGCTCGTGCCTAAATTAAATTCGTGTATAAAATGGCGTTTATCAAACTTGATACATAATATACTATTTTCAAAATTGTAGCTTTGAAGTTTAGCTTAATAATCCAAATATCAAAAGTCATTTTACGTTTTGCTATTATCTTTAAAACGGAGGCCTTTGGAAAAAATGTTTGAATAAGGAAGTAAAGGTGACTTAATTATCGTAAGTAATATCATAAGGGCATCTAATTTTTCCGAAAAAAATCGCAAAAACACGTTGCTAAGTAATATTTTAACAAGAAGCATGAGTGCTGGTGGCAACAAAAATTTTTGCACTTGCAATAAAAATATTACTTAGCATTGTATTTTTTCGATTTTTTTTACGGGAAAAATTAGATGCCCGAATGGTATTTGACAAGACAATTTTATGAGTAATAGTTAACAATTAAAATATAAATTGCAATTTTTGGTGACAACAGCTGTCAAGTTTTGCCGCGGGTAAACTCGAAAAAACCGCCACTTAATAAAAATATGTACTAATTTTTATAGTCAATTCCATATTAAATGGAAAATTTACTATATCTCAAAAAATGTTCTATTTTTTTAACTTTTGACATTTTCGGATTCAGGGGACAATTTTACATAATAATTGGCTGCTAAATATTGGGATACCATGGTATTCCATAGTTAACCATGGTACAAGTGAAAAAGCAGCCAATAATAACTATTAAATTAGTCATTTTTGACTAATTCATTTTTAGAGAGATAGGTGGTTGCGCGTTGAACGGTAAGTTTTTTAAATTTGTATAAAAGTTTTTTTGTATTTTTTTTAGGCTTCACATCGTTTACCTGTAATTCACAGTCTGGTTCCAGCACTTGAGAAGGCACCACGCGAGAGCTAGAGCTTTTAAAACGTAAAAGTTTAAAGATTAAAACCAACAATAATTTTTAAAATGTGCAAACCAATGATAGTGAAACAAACAATTTTCATAGAGAGCAAACTAAAATGGTGCAACGGTCAATAAGGAGTGAAGTGTTAAGTGATGAATGAGTTAAGTGCCACCTGTCATTGGACGCTTTTCACTGGACAAACAAAGGAGGTCAAACAAGAGGGGAGGTGGCCATCCGCAAAAAAAGGCAAACCGAAACGAGACCAATAATAAAAACTAGACACACAGAATAAACTAACACATTAATCATTATAACCCTAACATAGTAAAAAAAGCATAATAACCAAACTCTACTGGATTTGTAAACATTAGATGAGGCAATGGGGCTGGTGATGAGGCAATGGGGCTGGCTATAGGTCTCTTATACTCATACTCATACAATTCACATCGTTTACCTGTAATTCATCTTTAATTCGACATTTAGTGCAATTTTAACATGTAATAGTGTGCTAATAGTAATATACATAGCTACCGTTTTAAAAAACAATGAGTACTGAAAAAGAAATAATTGAAATTTTAATGATGGTTGGGAATGGTGACCAGCAAGAAGTATGTGCATTATGCCATGCATTATGCCATTATGCCACGTAATTGTAAAAAAATTCTGAAACCGGAAGTGTGAAAAATAGGACTAGAAGCGGTCGACCAAACTATATAGTACCTATAGAGTTTCTTGTCGGGGGGTTGCCCAATACAACGATATCAGTTATGCGTCAATGCAAAGGTTATTTAAAAGAGAAAAAATGCAGCCCTATTAGGTGCATTTGTTGCGAGAATTAAGTGAGGACGATTTTGATCGTAGGGGTGTTTAGTGAAATGTTGATGGAACGTTATAATCAGGATACAAATTTCTCAAGAAAATTTTTGCTAAAAAGTTTTGT